CGCTGGGGCCGCAACCTGCCCCCACCCTAGCCCTTTCCCCTCCCCCCTGCCTCTTCCCCCACAGACTTACCTGCTAGGAGTGGAGAGTGCACACACATGTATGCACATGCTCAGCCCCCCCCCCAAATTATTTTTTCTCCCTCTGCCTATGAAGGCCACACAGCAAAGCAGTGAAACCATGTCCATGTAGTAAACTTACAACGTTCTGCAGAGATGTCCCTAAGTATGCTACACTGCTCCACATAGGCTCTCTCTGCCCATGCTACTTAGCACACCTGAGCTGCATGTCAAAATCAGTTAGCACAACGCCTTGTGTGGATATGACTAAACTGCTTCCAATATAAGAGGTATCTTGCCCAAGGCAGCATCTTTCCCATGGCTTTTCAGTAACACTTATTCTGCATTTTATCCCAGAAATCTTAATTAAATCGCCCAAACATGCAGTCAGCCCAATAGAAGATGTCACCCACAAAAATCCTCGCCTTTTACATATTTCCTGGACCATCATAGCTACAACATTACTCCAACACATTCTAATCTTCTGACAGTCAAGTTAGGTTGGGCAAAGAAGAGAGAAACACAAAACAAAATATTTCCTGCTTTTGATTTTAACAGTAGTTGGGTTAAGTGAGAAAATGATAAGAATGTGTCATATGATGTCTGCTCTGAGGAGGAGTGGGGAAAGTTTCTAAATACTTACTAGTAACCACTGCAGCCTCCTTCTGCTTCCCCTGCCTGATACACAACTGCCCTCCTCCACTCTGCTTACAGCAGCTACTTCTTGCTCAGCTGAATACTGGCCAGCAAACACCTCCCAGCCACGAGCATAATCTTCTTTGCCTTGTTGCTCTAATCATGTTGCCTCTTTCCTCAAGATCCATCTCCACTACTGCATCAAGTCCAAGCTACATATTTTCATAGTCTTCACAAGGTCCCTCTCTGTTCCTCTGCTCTTGCCTGCTTTCCGAGGCTAGGGACAAACATTCAAAAAGCCTGAGCCTGAAGTGATTCAATCTTTGCAGGTTAGTCTAACCTGGCTAACCAGTTTGTAACCATACAAACATCCCCTCTGGACTAAGGAAGTTTAAGCACATGCCTACAGTGGCTCAGGCTAGAAGCCAGGGGGCACTACAGCAGCCATCCCTTCCCTTCTTCAGTGCTGAGCTGAGGCGGGATGTGGCCGGGCCCCAGCAGGATGCTCTGATTAGGGAGGGGTTCCCCGCACCTTGATAACAGAGCCAATAAATGCTCTGTTATCAACATTTAACACACCATCAGAAAACAAAGCCCCTCTCATTAGTTCAAGCTCTTCTTAAACAACCTTTTCCAAGGAAGGGAACATTCCAAAGAGGGCCATTACCAGCTACCTATTGATTAGCTCCAAAAAGTCCTAAAGACACTGTCCTGTCTGCCTTACACAGACAACTCTCAGGATTAGCTAGCATACCACATGCTGGCTATGGTCCATGCTGTGGGAGGGAGGGATCCCTGCTTGAGCTGTGAGCAGCAAGGGTGGGGAAGGAGGAAGCCAGGCAGATGCTCTGTGCCTGAAAATCTCTGCTAGAGCTCTATCCAATCTTTAGACCTCCTGAGGCTAAAAAGAAAGGCCTACAAAGGATGGAGGATGGGAGTCACCTCCAGGGAGGATTATTCTGCACCGGTCCGGTCCTGTAGGGAGCATACCAGGAAAGCCAAGGCTGCAACTGAACTCCAACTAGCTTTGAGCATCAAGGACAATAAAAAGTCCTTTTTCAGCTCGGGGGTGCGGGGAGTAGGCAGGGGATGGGGCCTGGAAGGTCCCCTCCCTCCTCCTCCAGCCCCCCTCCTCCACCTCCTACTTACCAGCATGGAGTCCACGTCGAGCGGCGTGCAGGGACTGCCCAAATCTCTGAAGCTCTCCGAATCTTTTCCAAATTGATTCAGACCTTTTTACTGGTCTCCCGATTTCATTCAGATTCAGAGATTTGGCTGCCAATTGGGCCGAATCTCCTCCAAATTGAATCATCACCTGAAGCTTTGCACGGATCTATTAACTGCAGGGAGCTGCTCTCCACCACACTGCCTGACTGCCACATACATGTGTGCATGTGCACATGCACATGGTGCCCCCTGTATTGGGTTGGCCTCCTTCTACTTCCCCCAGACCCAAGCAACCCCTTGCAGGTTGGAACTCTGCCAGCCTGCAAAGGCAAGCCTGTGGTTCCCCATTGTTTTTTTTCCTTTAAAAGAGAAAATCTACATTTCCACACAAAAGGAAAACCTGGATCTCTGCTGATGAGCCATCCTTCTTTGCAGCAATATGATTCCAGTTAGCTTGCCAGGGTACTGTCTAGTCAATGGATAAGGAGTACAGATATTAGCTAGTTTGGTTACTCTTCAGAATACCATAAATGTTAGTGAATAAACTTTAGTGTTTATGTGAATTATTTTTAATTATTGTAACAGAGATCCTGGGGCTCCCTGTTACTTTAAGATTATAGTAGCTCAGCCAGGGAGCACTGCAGGCTAAGCAGCAGCTGCAAGTCTCCAGGGCAACAGGCTAATCAGGTCATTATCAGGCACCTGCAGGCAGTCAGCTGAGCAGATGCAGGCAGGGTCCTGGGAACATATAAGCACAAGGCTGGGGCTAGCAGGGGTTCTCTCCCTGGCAGCTGCAGGGGAAGGAGCTCCTGCCTAGGAGAGCCACCCAGGGATGCTTGACTGCTTGCTTTGCTACCTATAGGAGTAGTGAGGCTTGGGGAGCTCACAAGGTACCCATGCTGTACTAGGGAGTAAAGGTTTGCTCTCTTGAAGGGGCAGAGGGCTGTTCCCATGGTTATTGTTGTTGTAGCCCAGGGGATTATGTTTATGTTACTGTTTAGACCAGTAGGGAAGATTTATGGAGATCCCAGTAATACCCAAGGGGCACATAACTACCTTGAGCCCTGCCAGGGTCTAGTGAGTACTGAGCCCAGAGTGGGCATAGTTTGAGGCACCGAGGCAGGGGCCAGGGGCCCAGCAGATGGGTATGGTGATGGAAGGGACAAACATGAACTAGATCCTCAAATAAGCCAGGTCCAATGCAGTGGGCCTAGGCTAGAAAACCTAGTCGGAATAAAGGGGCAGAGGCTGGGGAGGCCAAAGCCCCAACAGTGATGACAGTAAACTACTACTACTTTCATAAACTACTACAAGACCGTTTCAGGCTGGACATAAGGAAGAATTTCTTTACTGTCCGAGCCCCCAAGGTCTGGAACAGCCTGCCACCGGAGGTGGTTCAAGCGCCTACATTGAACACCTTCAAAAGCAAACTGGATGCTTATCTTGCTGGGATCCTATGACCCCAGCTGACTTCCTGCCCCTTGGGCAGGGGGCTGGACTCGATGATCTTCCGAGGTCCCTTCTAGCCCTAATGTCTATGAAATGTCTATGAAATATCCAGAGAGCAGAGGGGAGGGGCCAGCCCTACTCTGGAGCAGAGAGCCCCTGGGAGCATGCTGGGATGCTGGGGGAATCTGTTTTAACTTAAACCAAGAAGGGGTCTGAGACAGACATTGCATAAACCAGTTTGACTCAAATCAGTTAAGTCTGATACTACATCCATCCAGGTTTATCTCAAACCAGTTTGGGCCATTTTCAAACTGGTTTATGTGCACTGAACATTTGTTTTGTTACGGGGTTAAACCAGTTTATGATTACTTAAACTGGTTTATGTGTAATGTCTGTCCTTAACCCTAAAGCCCTACTGTAAACCAAACACAGACTTGTTAGCAAGGGAAGGAAAACTGCAGCCCCAGCACCAGTCTTTTGACATCCTTTTCTTCAAGGTTGGCTTGATTTTTAAAAACCAAACTTAAAACCCAAACAGATCAGTACTGCCTTTTCAGTTGCAACCAGCCAGAAGGCAGAGGATACACTCTTGCCCTTTCATCAGTGAATTTGTAACAGCTTTTGCTTTATAACAGAGTTCAGACCAGCCAAGTAACAGGCAGAAAGGAATTCAATAACTGGACTTGTTATGCACCTTGTTACACCTACATACACACTCTCCAATCAAGGTTCTAGCTCTAATCCAACAGCCCAGAGTCTTCACTTTTCCCACAGATGCAATGATTCTTTCTTTTACCCTACTACTAATATATGTTCCCTGAGCTGACCTGCAAAGCTCAGGGAGTCTTGTGTCTTTTTTTCAGCCTCCTGTACTCAAGGGGATTTCTCCACTGGCTACATCTAGGCAGAACACCCCAAGACTCTGCCTTTCCAAGCAGAACAAGAGATGCAGCAGGCCAGAGATTCCAGCCTAATCCCTCACTCAGTCACAGCATCATGAAGATCAGTGCAGACTGCGTTTTGTCCAGCTTCTCTGATGGATTTTCTAGCCTGAACTAACCTTCACGCTTCCATTGGCTACACCGCTTTTAGTATCCAAACTTAGTTTAAAGCAAGCTCCAGTACATTAAAACACTTTGACTCCATTGCAGGCATCTTCATTATTAGGTCTGCTGTCTACTGGTGCAATTGACCACACGACAGCATGTCAAGAGTATTTGAATTCGTTATTCAGTCTTTGGGCTAAAAGTCTTACTGCAGTAGTGGCTTGCTGCAGAGTGATAATGACAAGGTGATAATCCTGCTAGATAGGAGATGCTGGCCTTTGTCAGTATAAAGGGCACAGGATGGAGATAAATTTAAGCTTCTGGAGTATTCAAAAAACAGCTACCCTTTCTGCCTATCTTCTCCCATACTGCGCTTCGCAAAGAGGTGACCAATGGAAAGTTCAGTTTTGGGAGAGGAAAAACAATTACAAGAGGGAACCTCGGACAGTAGCTGTACGAAGCAGGGAATGCTTCTCAACAGGGAAGACCAAACCATAAAGAGATATAATAAAGAAAAACCAAAGACTAACTTTTCCTTTCCTCTCCCACTCACAACATCGTGGATGCTCACCATATTTAAAGAGGGCTGTGGGAAGTGGACTCCTACACTATTTGCTTGAAATAATTCCTAACTATAAGTGTCACATTTTGTAATCATATTTTATTGTTTTTACCACACAATTTTCACACCATTTTCATATCAAGTCTCAGAGCAGCTCAATATTTTAAACCATTTTGAAGTGATTATTAATAAATAATTGTCTCATGTCATAGAGCTACAGTGACCTCCAGTGGCCAACATGATCACAGCCCTTGGGTTCAGGAAGTTATTTTTGGAGAGGTAACCAAATCCTTGATTATTATCCTTGATTATCTACAAGCTGACCTGAACTGGAGACAGAAGCTGCATCCATGGGCTCTTAGATACATATCAAAGATTAAATGTTAACTGCACTATCACCACATTAAGGAGTAAGAAATGACTTTTAAGAGCTCATTATGCAACCATGTCTTTAACAGGTAGGCCTTAAATAAAACTTCTTAATAATAATAAATATGTATTAGTTACAAAAATTAAATAAAAACATCTTTTTGTAAATCTTTCCAACAGAACCTCTTCATATAGAGCTCACAATTTTCATTACTCTTCATCCAAAATGTACATCCAATAGGATAAATAAACTAAAAATCGTGAAAGTAGAAACAAAACAACATATAGAAAATTTGCATTCAAATTTCATGGAAATTTCAAGGGGGAAGAGGTAATGTGTGGTTGAGGAACAAGACAAATAATTATCCAACATAAACAAACATCTTCTAAGTCTTCTGGGATATTATAACAATAAAACATATTTGGCGTGGGCAACGGCCTTTTTCCAAGTTATAACCCTTCCATGGCTGGAAGCTACTAATCCTGCTGAGGAAAGAGAATGGAATTTCATATTTGCCCCCTCCGGGTTCTAGTTCACAGCAGCAAATCCTCCATTTCACTAACCCTTACCTATCATTTCCCTTTCCCTCCTCTTCCTCAGCCCCCATCATATTAAATTACATTGACTTAGCTTTAGAATTATGTTATCTGTCTTAGGGTGTTGTGGAGTCAGGAAAAATATAGTCTATGACATTATTCAGAGTGGAGCCAGGAAAAATATCTAGGCCCTCCTACCTCACAACTTCAGAGCCACTATTCAAAATCAAATCTTCCCCAGTGTGAAAGAATAAAGAGCTAAGGTACAGAGACAGACCAAGATTCCTAGAAAACGTTATACTTAATGCATGATAAACCTGTTAATTGCACAATAAATTCCAACATACTACACATTCAACCAATTTATTTTACATTGAAAAAGGCAAACCAGCAGCAAAGATGGTCCACATTTAATGTGTCACACTTTAATTTAAATGTTAGTTTAAAGGGCACTGGAAAGTTTGGCTTAAGAGTTGCTCCTTAGTTCTGGGCTGCCCACAAACCCATTTATATTTCCATCTGCGTAGGGATCCTAGTACTAAAAACCAGAAATTTATATTGCAGGGCTTCCTGGACACTGGCAAGTTTAAAAGGGTAGTTTGAGACCCAGGGATCT